ACTTATATGTATGCGCCGCAAATCTTGGCCTATTGGTAGCGAGGTCACTGTAATTCTCCTTAGGTTAAGAGTTCAATCCCACCGTGGCGTGGGGGCTCTGAAATTTTAGACACATGACGCGGGCTCTCATCATGGGGTCAAAAAACGCATGAGAAATTGATATTTGGGCCTATCAATTTACTTTATATATATATACATGAATAAGCTAGATTTTCATGCATGCATGCATGCAAAGAACACAAGCTATATATTCCATATTAAAATATGTTCGTCCAACTCAAAATATATATTTCAGTACTATTACTTGAACTTGCAGGCTACAACAATGGAGGAATTTCCAGCTCCGATTTCCATGACCGTTATAGCTGCCATATTAGGCTCTTTCTTTTCCTTAATATTTCAGTATATCTTGCAAGGAAATATAACCAGCGGAGTCGCCAGCCTCAGCCTCAATGTCCTTATCACTGCTGTGTTAGCGGTATTATATATACTAACCATTTCCTTAAACATTTCATTCCCTTTTGTTTCAAAATATAAATTTTATAAAGCTATATTTTAAACAATAATTTATAAAATATTATGTTGCAGGGAGGATCAGTGACATCCATAAGCTCATTAGTAGTAACAATGTCTGTTCATAAGAAAGGACCGGTTTTTGTTTCAGTCTTCCAACCTACACAATCATTCTGTGCAGCCATTCTTTCAGCACTGATATTAAAGCAGTTTATCAGCCTTGGAAGGTATTTATTTATTGGGGCATTTACACATACATGCCACACAATTCCTATGCATCAATGTAATACACACTTGCATGCATTAGTAAGCTGTTACATATGTAAATACATAGGAATTAAGGGGTATTTATATATTAAATTAATTGCTTGAATTTATGAATTGTTAGTGAAAATAAAATCCTAAAATATTAAAATTTATTTTATTTGATTTTATTAATATTGCAGCTTGATAGGTATGGGGCTCATGTTTGTTGGCTTGTATGTTGTCTTGTGGGCAAAGATTAAGGAAGCTGATAAAGAAGAGAGTAGATTGATCCCAGATGAAGAGAGAGCTCTTCTTTTTTAGTGGGTTCTTATGAAGGCCTGTTGCTAGCCATGTAAAGAATGAAATGAATTGAATAGATGACATTAAGTATATATTAATAAAAGTATGATGAAAGTGGGTTCTTAAATCTTTGTGCTTGCTTTGAGATGAGTGCAATATGATTGTTTGATTATGTATGAGAGTATATATTTATGTGTGAGTGTGTATTTCATTTTTAAAATGTTAATTATGGTGGTATTTTTTTTTGTAAGTTAACTCAAGCAACATATAAAACAAGCTAAGGAGGATAAGTTCATGATAGAGCTTGGCTAGTTGAGAGCTAGTCACCTAAACTTATGAATTTTAAAATAGTTTGATTGTCTTGAGTCTACTGTCATGTTGGCTTGCAAATGAAGGCAAGAACGCTTTTTGACTTGATCAAATGTTTATATCTATTGTATTACCCTAAGGAAAGTGAACACCCCCAAATTACCTAATTTATTAGAGGCAATTTGGAAGTATTATTTGTACCTTTCAATTAATGATTAGCCAATCATAAATGACTACTTGAATTGCAATTAATAGATTTAAAAGCGACAGTATTTATTTATTTTTAGGGCTGTTGGAACCACAAAAGTTATCAGAAGTGTATATGTGAGTGATAGAAGACATTGTTATATATGTATGTATGTTTATATATATATATGTATGTATGTATGTATGTATGTACACACACACTCACTTCTTATTTATTTATCTATTTAATTTACTTTGAGATTTCTCTTGTATTTTTGTTTTTTTGGTAATTTGCCAAGTTACTCTAAGTTTTTTTATTTATTAAGAAAAAAATCAATGCCACTTCTAAATACTTCCCATATAACAGTTCATTTCTTCTTCTTCTTCTTTTTTTTTTTTAATAATTATTAGTATTTTGTTTGTGGTTGATCATACAATTCGAGCCTAATCATATAATATGATCAATTTTGATATTCCTAATTTTGTTTAAATTGTGCTTTAAGAATGTTTAATTTTAATTTTGTACGTGTACTAATTGACTCGACACGCAATTACGTAATTTTTTAAGTTCATAAATATGTCCAAATGTATATTCAGTGGCTAGTGTGCAAAATTAAATAGTATATATAAAGATGGTAAAAATGGTTTACACACTAGGGGTACTACGCAAATATACGTATCGTTTCAAGTAATATAGGATTTTCTTTAAAAACCTCAGTATCATCCCACGGAGACAGACAAAACTCTTATAAAATTGACTTTAATAAAATTTTCTTTTAATTGTAGTAAATTTAAGCTCTGTTTGGCGCAGCTGTAGCTTCTCAGCTATTCAGTTGCAGCTGCGCTGTCCCAGGAAGTTGTTAATGGGAAGCTGACAACATGTTTGTTGCAGCTGTGTGAAAATTGTAGTGGAGCAGTTGTTTCTGGAAAATTGATCGTTCTGCCCTTATTCAATAATTTTTTTTTGTAACAGAACTGTGACACCCATGTATTTAATAATTCTAAAGCAGAAATTCAAAATAATGTAGCTGCAGCTGCTCTACCCCAGGATGTTGTTACTGGGAAGCTGACAACCTGTTTGTTGCAGCTGTGTGAAAATTGTTGTGGATCAACTGTTTCTGGAAAATTGATCGTTCTGCCCTTGTTCAGTAAATTTATTTGTAACAGAACTATGACACTCATTTATTTAATTATTCTAAAGCAGAAATTCAAAATAATGATAAATTTATTTTGAAGTTTAAAAATATAACGCTAGCTTTGGACAAGATCCAGCTAAAACCAAACCAAAACTACTAAGAGTTAAAAGGATGTGTAACTAAATACAAATCTGTAAATGTTAAAAGTCTTCAAAATATTTAACAAAAGTGTCTGTAGAGATCTAAGAAGGAAATTCCAATAATTAACTATAAATCTTGAAAAAAAATTTCATAAAAAAAATTCCATGAAAATTAACATCAAACCAATGCTGCTATCTTCTAGACTCCAACAAAAAAGATGTGAACTTTGTCTTTCAGTTCAATCCAACTCACCCCAGGTTTCTTTTTCACCATGGTTTCCCTCATCAATTTTCTCATGCCGACAACATTCCACATTCCAGCTGAAGCATAAATATTGGCGAGGATCACATGTGTTCCGGACATCTCTTGCTCTAGAATGAGCAGCATCTTAGCTACTTTCATGCCTATTTCAACATTATTATGAACCCTGGAATCCCCCAGCAGAGCCCCCCCCCAAATGGCAGCATTTGCTTCGAATGACATGCTTTCAACAAGCTCCATGACCGACCTCAATCTCCCCGCACGACCCAAAAAATCAACCATGAACGCATAATGTTCCGGGGTCCGTTCGATGTCAAACATCTACTCCATCGAGTTTTCTCTCTCTGCCCCACCGGCCTGCTCCACTTGTCACCTGCTCGCCCGTCGCCTTTCCCTGACGAATATTTTCGGGTAGGGTAATGGGGTAAAAAGCCGAATGAGGAAGCCGAGCCGCAGGTTGATGTTGGTGTTCCACTTTCGGAACAAATCACGACCCGTTGCAAAGGCACCGCCTCCCCAAACCGTAAATTTCAGCGGCGCGACACCGCACCGCATCCTTGCCGTTGCGCCAAACGCAGCCTTATATAGGAAATGAGTGCAAGTTTTTGTGTAATATCTAATCCTATAGAATTAAAAGGAATGCTAAGTATGCTAAGCAAATGCAAAATGCAAATGCATGACAATCTAAAAAGATTTTAAAATGTAAAGTTACCACTACTCTAAACTAACAATGTATGAAGAGTTCAAATTTGTATAAAATATCATTCCCCTTTGCAATGAGTTTATAATTAGTGTTGGAAAATAATTTTAAATATAATTAATGTATTGTGCCAAATATGAGCAATTCTATTCTTTACTTTCTCTCGAGTGCATAAAGAATATTGGTTAATCTAGTTTGGTCCCTAAATTTGTGGTTAAACTGGGAAGATACTAACTCTTACTCTAGAGTTCTCACTTCCCCTCACCTGAGGATTAACATCTCGCTTTAGTTTCCACATCTGGACTAAATTGGGAATTGTAGTATGTCGCCCTAAAATCTCTAATTCTATGTCCATCAAAACTTATTTCTCTATTTATTTGCACTTAAACTCGTGACTAAATTCTCATCCATGAGGCTAAATGTGATTATTATTCTGTTGGAACATAGCCCATTTCTGGTCGCTATATTTTACAACGGACTTTAACAAATCAATTGGTCATATCGATAAGTAAATTAAGCGTAGAGTTAGAATCACCACAATTTATGGAATTTTAAAAGAACTTCTACTAAACTACATTCATACACATAATCATTCCTCATTGTAAGGAGAAAGACAAAGGAAACTACTCATATCTCATGGGGAAGAAACAACAACACATGGATTTATATATAAATAAAAGTTTACAATATAAGACTAAATAAAAATAAACAAAGTACATAACTTATCATTGAACTCCTTCCCAAGCAATCATTTTAGTTCATTTGAATCACTTACTCTCCTTACAATTCTACTCCAAACTTACTTAAAATTGGTGAAGAAGATATCTCTCACTTCTCCTCTTCTCTTCCAAGTCCAAGCAAGCCTCCGAGATTTCTCCTCTCTATGAAGAATCCACTTCTCTATAAAAGACTCTATTTTCCTCCTTCAAAATTCTCTCTTTTGAATCTCCAGAAGTCTCTTTAAATAGAGCTCTCAAAATCCCCAAGAGTTTCTCCAAGCACCTCTTCAAAATTCATCGAAATTCAATGGATTTTCTAGATAACTGCTTTTGGCTCCAAGGCGCCAGATTCTGGCACCTGTGCACAAGATCAACATTTGCCTTTTTGCTTCATTTGACTCCAATTTGCTCCATTTAGTGCACCTAAAATAAAAAACATCAAAAAAATACATTTCATTAAAGTGCAATATCATTAAAAATAAGTATTAAATGTGCAAATAATAGTAAAATATTTTAGGCATGCAAAATCACCCAAACTTAATTGTTAGCCCTCAAGTAACTTATTTCTTCTGAAAAATAAAATATTTTCATATGTGGTAATGGGTTTTATTAAAAATCTCTATAGTTTTGTTCTATAAATGTGGTAGTCATGACTTTAGAAAAATCTTAGTAATTCAAGCTAGAAATAAGGCATAAAAATATTTTGTAATCAAGTCCAGGAATTCTAATTTTTCTATTCATTTCAAAAATTAATTTTAGTTTGAAAAACATAGGAGCCTCAGAAAAATAACATATATAATTTGAGAGAACTTTACTGGTAAATGTAAACTAATATTGTAAGAAAATAAAAGCTCAGAATTGTAATAAAGTCTCTTTCTTTAAAATGATTCATGTGAATTCAATTTTTAATTTGGCATTCCCTCAAGCTTCTCCTCACTTCCACATTTTATTTTTTTTCTTTCTCTTTTCCTTTTTTTTTGTTTTTTTTTCTATTTACTTTCAGGATCATTTTCAATCATTTCTTTTCTTTTTCTTAGTGAGATTACTATATTTGGATCGGCCTTTAATGATTTTGAACTTCGTTATCCCCCTCTTAAAGTTAAAAACTCATCACATTTCCTTACTTCGATAATTTGTATCAGTTTTCAAAAAGGATTTTTTATAGTCTCAATTCTTTAAAATAGAGATCTAAGATCCTCTGCATTTCAAAAATACAATTTCTTTTTTACTTTAAATAGTAAAATCATATCCCTGTTCTCTTTTACTTAATATCTTAATTCTTAGAACTAACCTTTATCACCAAAAATTTACTTAAGTTTACCACAACATCTATTGAATAAAAAAATACAGTTCTCTAAAAACAACACCACATACCTCATATTAGTTTTAAAAAGATATTTTCTTTGAATATAATTTTTTAAGGAGAAATAAAATTATATTTTTCAAAATTTTTTCTCCCTCCCCCAAACTTAAATTTTTCTTAATAGGTTAAAACATTTATAACTAAAAATATAAAAGTAGAAATAAAATTTTAAAAATGATTTTTGTAAAAAGGGTTTAACATGAAAGTGTGTAAGTTTTAGAAGAGCTTAATTAAAATGTATATATCAAAAAGAAATTGCTAAGTACGAGAGTTTTCTAAACATAACAATAATAGTAGAGTAAAACAACTAGTAGTGCAGTAACACAAATAATAAGAAGCATAAGCAACAAACAGTAATAAATCCAAATTGCAACAAGTTTACAACGATAATTTCTACACTAAATAGTTCAGAACATCTATCACAACAAAAGAAACAAAACATATAATAAATAACACAAAGATACTAATCCTCATCATCATCTCCTTCTATCTCCTCATCAGCTTCCTCATCCTCTTCCATATAGTTCTCTGGGTGATAGCCTGGAAATGGAAGACTTAGTGGAAACTGAACATTATGATCTCCTTGCAAAAAACTCACCAGAGATGTATTGAAACTCGTATCATGATCATGTTTGAGTTTCAAGTATCCCTGGGCATGATCAACCTTATAATCAATATCAATCACTTTGCCTTGAAGGTATGTTATGTCATGTGTCAAAGCCTGATAATCACTGTGAAGATCTTCTAGAGTGGCTTTGGATTGAGCAGTAGTTGGTCTGGAGGTAGAGGTAGAAGGAATATCTAAACTTCCTCCCCTAGATCTCATTCCAGCATGCAATTCATATACTTGAACATTGGTTCTGCTAATTGGTTTAAGAGATTGTATTTGTTCTCATCAACGCTCATATTCTACTCCTGATTGATTACATAAAGTAAAAATCAAGGCAGAGAAACATAATCCCTTAGTAGTTCCACCTCTAGAAAAAATATTCTGATAAATTATAGATCCAATATTTATATGTTTCATCTGTTGAGTGCATAAGTTCAAGGATGATCCCTCCTTAGTCACCTAACTAAGATGATTTGAAGGAAGAAGTCGTGCAGAAATAAAATAGTGACATGTCTTGGAAGGTGCATTTAACATTAAGGCGGAGAAGTTTACTTTATGATTGTTTTCAATTTTTCAAACTCCTCTTCCGTTAGTCAGAAATGCAATCACCTTGTCCAAGTGCGATTCAGTAGGCTCAAATGAAGAATAATCACAATTCAGAACATTAGACAACTGGTACAGAGCAATGATGCGCTCAAGAGTAACTTCCACTATTCTACCTTGAACATAAACTTGATCATCAGAGTCTTTCGGGAAATTAGCATAAAATTCTCAAACAATATAAATTACTGCTACCGTAGTGAAGTAACAGAAACTTTCCCGCTGTCAGGTTATAATTAAGCTTTCAACCACTCCCCTGAGATTGAAGAAAGCCCTCTCCCGAATCAACTTTCTATAAGCAAGATGACTACTGAATCTGTACTAAGCCTTAATATTGGCGAACTTCTCAGAATCAAACTCCAGTTTCCTTTTCCTCTCTTAGTTTTAGGAGCCATAATCTATAAAAGATTCCAAAAATTTCACATAAATTCCAAACAATATTCTTAAACTCCCAACAACATTTTTCTAAGGTAAGATACTTTCTACCATGGATTCATCACTCATTTCTTCAAAAAAATCCAAAATTTCAGCACATGAGCAATGTGAGAAGAATTCATGGTGAAAATAAAAAAATTTTGCATTAAAGTGAAGCTCTTACCTTGAGGAGATCAAATTCGAAGTTTTCATGCTAAGAAATCGCCCCAAAAACAAAGATTTGAGCAGCCCTAGGAAGCCCCCACACAGTTTTTTCGCAAAAACTAGGATGTAGAAGTTGACGGTTTGGGCAACAATCGAGTTTTTAACCCAAATTTATGGTTCAGTTGAACTGGTGCATAGGCCAGTTGAACCAGTGCTTAGGCACCAAATTCTGGCGCCTAAGCACCAGGTTCTCGGGCGCCAGATTTCGGCGCCTAGGGGCCAGTACCCAAAATTCAGTTTTTTTTATTTTTTTCATCAAATTTTAACAACGAGCACTGCACACCAAGGCACTACGAGCCCTAATAAGGCAAATTCAACATGTTTAACATCTTCCAACATCTAATTTTCACAAACACCAACATTCACTTATATTTAAATATTAATCCAATCCCTATACAAACACAAGTATACGTTACTCACAACCTTTAAAACATAATTTCTAAATTCACTCACAAACTACTTAGCACACAAACATTCTAAATACTAGAAAGCTTACAAGCACACAACAGTGTCAACAACTTTCAAACACATTTCAAAGCAATAAGCACATATAAAAGCTACTATGAAAAGTCCAGTACATATTGTCATCAACCTCACTATCCACTTCTCTAATATCTCTAAGCGACTGATGCACATACAAGTTGTAGAAGGGATAGTTCAAGAAGTTCTCTGAATCTTCCTTTATCCAACAATTCTTCTTATACATCAGGACCTGTGCATCATGGATTACAGTAGCATGATTTGACTGTTGTTTCATCTGTCAATTCAAATGATCGAACTGATCAGTAATGTTATTAATCCTGTTATAAATCACTAACATCTCCCTCTTTATATTCTTGATTTCTTCTAAGATACCAGCCAAACAATCTGCACGTTGAGGAACTAATGATGTGGAAGGCCATGTAGATTGATCCATATAAGAACTTCCTCCATGCGCCGCATAAAGATCGATGTTGTCACACATCAAAATAGACTAGTCCATGGGCTTTCATGGGAGAAGTATCTTTTCCTAATTTTCATAAGGGACCTGGGCTTGACTACAAAGTGAGAAAATAACAACAGGGTGTTCAAGCCCAGTTAGAGATCCATTTAGTGCAACTTCAATGATGGGTCTATAAATAAGTGCCCCCATATCAATAGGTCTTCACGACTGAATATAATAACTGAGGATTACACTTTTCTTCGTTACTTCCTTGATATTCATGATAGGAAGCAATTTGGCAAAACTGAAAAAGTGTCAAGGCTTAGATCAGCAGGGAAACTAACTTTGGAATCACTTCTAAATTTCCAACGTTCATCACTATCCACTAGGAATCTGAAGATCTCAATCAAACCGTCTTTAGTCGGAGTGAAGTTAACAAATTTGCAAATTGACACGCCATCCACCAAGAACAACTCATTGATCCTTAAAGAATTTCTCAAAACAAATCAAAAGGCTATCAACACACAAAATAATTTCCACCACCATACACAACACAACCACCACAGCTCGCAACTCAGTATGAGAACCCACAACACAGCCGCCACAACCATCCAATCACACCCCCACACACATAACATAGCCACCACAACACAAGACACAACACCACAACCACCCAACCCTCAATACAACCACCAAAACCACACATATCACAACCAACACAACACCTTAAGAGAATTCTTTATTGGCTCATTTAACTGGTTTAAGTTAGCAAAAAATGCTTTGAGTTTACACTAACAAAATGATTTTATTTTCCTATTGCATCTTATTATTGTGGGGATGTATAGGAATTTATTTGCAGCCTTCTCTTAGAGAGAATGAAGATGATGTCTACATGTTATTGATGATGATCACTGAAAAATACTCTTTTTGAATCTTTCCTTAAAAAAATTCTCAAAGCAAATCTAAGGGGCTATCAATGCACAAAATAATTCTACCACCATACATAGCATAACCACCACAGCCCACAACCTAGCCATCACAACCCGCACACACCACAACCACCCAACCACACCCCCACACACATATCATAACCACCACACCACAAGACACAACACCACAACCACCCAGCCCTCAGCACAACCACCACAACCCACAACAATCCACCATCAAAAGCGACAACAATCTACCACCCCAGCACCCCAACATCATAACAATCCACCACCACAAGATCCATAGTAAAGGCCATAACCCCATCACCAATGAAGAAAATCTAACACCAATGCAAAATCACATGAATTGCAAAAATCAAAATTGCATAAATTGCAAAGTCCACCAACAATGAACAACCAATCGAAAATCAACGAATGAATAAAGCTTAGAAAACTATCACAAAATCATAATGCCAGAGAAAATTTGGAAGAAAATACCGAGGTTGAAGGAAAGCAAAAAGATCTAAGCTGAGATGAAGCACAACCCACAAATTGCACAGGAGGAGGCGAGCGAGGAACTTACCTATAGGGTGACGAGAGAGAGAAACTTAGTCACAAGAGAGGGGCGAGCAAGGGGGTAGGGTACTAAAAAGTGGGCGAGTGGTTATTACGAAATGCGAACCTGCGGTCCGCGTTTTGTCCGAAGTTTTTAAGAAAGCCACAACGCCACATTTTTTAAATGAACAAAAAAATCACTGTTTAGAGTCGTGTCGCACGAAAAAAGGCAGCCTCAAACAAAACATAAATTATTGAGAGCTTTTACTTATAAATGACAAGATTTGAAAACTCCTATATGTGGGAAATATTTGCGTATGTAATACGCACGCAGAGCTGCGTGCATAATAACCTTGCAATAACCTCCGCATCGCGATTATTAGTGGGTTATTGAGGTATTAATTCCAATAACCTAAAACCCTAATAACCTTCCAATAACATTTAATTTTAATGTTATTTATAGGTTATTATGAGGGTATTGCGGGACTAATAGAGTATTCACACAGAATATTAAGGGTCCGTTTGGGGTAGTTTATTTGATGCGGTGGCGTTTTGAAAACACACTTAGTCTGTTTGGGTAAACTGTGTTTTAGCAGCTTCTGCGTTTTGAAAATGCAGAAAACAACATTTTCACACCAAGTCTATCTAGGTGCGGTGACAGCTTTCTGACAGCGGTCTGACTTTACCAAAAAAATAAAAATTTGTAAGAGCCACCGCACCTAGTTTATCAACAGATTATTTTTAATCAACTTATCAACAGATTATTCAATAAGCTGCAACTACC